CCACGGTGCCCCAGGTCAGCCTGCAGTGTCAGTGGAGGAGCTACAGAAAAGCGGAGCTCAGATCCACAGTTCACTTCGCAAAGTTAAAAGCTGACCAAGCTTCTACAATCTCTCCCTGTTATTTCCAACAATTCCATAACTACCAGAGAGAATCACCACTGCATACACAGCAGGACGCATGCAGAATCATTGCCACTCACTTAGAAAACTCCATGTGTCATAGAAAAACACCGCTAAGAAAGATTAAGTAAAAAACATGAACAGAAAACAGAATTAATCTATCTGGAGCATCTACCATGTACCATAAATGGTACTAAACACTTCATGTGTGTTTATAAACTGATTTCTACCAAAACTCAGAAAGGAAGGATTATTTTACAGATGTAGAAACTGGACCCAGGGAAGCTTCCCCAGGTGATGCTCGAGTGAGCACATAAGGGTTGGCATCCAACACCAGGTGTGTGGAGGTCTAGAAGCCCACCTCTTTTTTTTCCCCCAAAACAATGCAATGTAACCTTATAAAACCCCCTCCCTATTCACACTCTCCTCACAGAAACAGCACATGGTTGCAGAAACAGAGTTTTCCATTTCCCTCCTTCTGCTTCAAATTTTTTTCTGAATCCTCACCTCCATCTGTCCTTCATCTCAGAGAATGAGGTCTCTGTAAGGCTAATTTCACCATTTGGTCTTGGGTTCTGAATTCTCCTGCCTGCTCAGGAGCTCTCTCAATCAGAGAGCTGAATACTCACTAGTGACAGGCACAATTCCAGATGCTACAGATAAACATGAAGAAAAGAGACAAAAGCCTCTTGACCTCATAAGAGCTAATGTTCTAGTGTGGGCAGACTAGGAATAAACAGATACACGCTGAAAACATAGTATCTCAAATGTTGATAATGCTATGGAGAAAAATAAAACAGGCAGAGGAGCTACTGAGTGAGCGGGAAGGAGAGGAAGCAGGAAGAAGGATGTGGGGACTATCATGTTGACAGGTGGGCCTGGAAAGGCTTCACTGAGACAGAATCTGCTCAGAGACCTAGAGGAGTGAGGGGAAGAGAGATGGGAGCAGTCAGGATGAGGCTGGGGAGCGCCCACTCCATGCTCCTCCTCCCTGCTACCTCCTGGATCCAGTGTGACCACCAGTGGCAAGACCTGTTAACCCCAAGAAGATTCCTGGCAGCCTGGAGGGCTGGCGCCACGTCTGGTTCACCTCTGAGGACAAGATCACACCTGCTGATCCTCTACCCTACTACAGTGCCTTGAACACAGTGATGCCTAATAAATATCTGGCAAATTATTTATGAAACAATTTTGTGTTGTAATCTGAATGCAATACTCAAGGAATGACCACATGTATAAACAGATGCCTGAGTATGTGTGTGTGGTGTATCATGTGAATACTCACCATTAGCCAGGATCTTGGGCTTATTGGCAGGACTGAAGCAGATGTTGTGAAAGATAAGAAGTGGTATATAAGGGCTGCTCTTATGCTTGTATTTGCTCATTTCTGTAAGTAAGTCTAAACAGCCATCTAGCCTCAGGATCATTTGTTGCCCGTCTTCTCCAAATGATATATTCAGGAGTAACTTCAACCAAAGAATGGTCAGATTACTGAGATGCTTACTTCCTCCTTTTGGCAACGTTAGAGATAGAAAGTTCTGTAAGAAGTTACTCTGTGGGTAAATAGAGAGAATATTATTTTCTTCCTGAGTCTTTTCATTATTTTCCCTGTCCCTTGGAGACCAATTAGCTAGAATTCTGCTCTTCTTTTCCACAACTTTAATTCCTCCTTCCTCCTAACACCTACCTTCCAAATATTCCATCTATATTGTTTCCAGGTATAAGTGAACAAGTTAAGGAGAACAAAATAGTGCTCAAATTTTAATTCTTACTAATTCTTTCCTGATAATGGATAAAGTAAATACATATAGTCAACTCTTAATTATTTAGGATGGATAATTCAATTTGGGGATTATTTCAGGCCTCCTGAGTTTTCTCTTTCTGTCTGCCTTCTGGCAATTTTGCTACTCATTAAAAGCTATCCTATGGGGAGGCAAAAGAAACAAAATCCAAATCAGTCTTGGATACCAGTTAACAACTCTAGTAGTACTGAAGAGATCTGAATCTAAGCGTTCTTAAAACTAAAAAAAATCTGTGTGTACATTTTATATTCACTTTACCCTAACCGCTTATCTTCACAGATAATTTCTCATGGCTACATGCCATTCTAGAAAACTTAGAAATGAATACCAAAAATATCAGATAGATATTTTGATCAGGGTACAGAAATATGATCACTGAACTTTCATAAATGTCCAGAATATCTCTCATCTCTCTCCTGCTTAATAATCTATTCTGGCCTAGTTCTTGGGTTCTCCTGCACCTAAGTCAGGATGTTGGCTTGAATCTATAAGGTAAATTGAACACTTTTATATAGGACTCTGAGTCTAAAAATGAAATGATACGGACGTGGTAAATCACTGTACTGTACACCTGAAACTAGTATTACCTTGTATATGTTAATTAACTGGAATTTAAATAAAAACTTAAAAAAATAAAAAAACAAAAATGAAATGAGCTACAGAAATATTAGCAACATAACCCAAGCAACAAGTAAACTGTAAAACTACATGCCCACTTTGCACTGTACTTGCCATCACTCACAGCTACTTCTCATCGCTCAGTCCAAATTAATGCTTTTTAGATTTATCCCTTGCCTTTTCCGTTCAGCTAGATTCTGCCATGATATTGGAGATTCGGAGTTGACACTAGTGATAAAATATACGGCAGTGCCTTAAATTACAAATATGCTGTGTGCATTCCTTCTTTTTGCTAGAGCTAAAGATGCTTTCAGACAATTTCTGTACTAGACATGGTGGAGAGAAACCAGACATTCTAGAATCTCAGCTGTACAACAGTGCTGGCTACATTTTCTAACACCTATAGATGAGCAATGGAGAGGTATAACTATAGAGCCCAGGACTCAATATAACAAAGCAGCAGGGGAAGGCTCAGGGGTTGCCTAATTAGAGCAGAGGAAAAACAACTCGACTGACCGCACCTGAAACAGAGTCCAATGGAGCATATATCAAAATATGCTTGAGTACAGTAACATAGCCTGAGAGTGGAAGACACCTTCAAGATCATGTTGTTTAACCCGAGAAGTTTACAAATGAAGCTTAAGGAGAGAAGGTCTCCAGCTCAAAGTCACATGTCAGACCCGAGATTAGCAGTCATTTGGGAGTTCCTATTCTACTTTACCCATGTGCTCTACAGGGAGGGGGGCAGGAAGCCCTACCCCTGTCTGCGCTCCCACACACACAGCCAGCTGGGCACGACTTCACATATATATCCAGCCTGTGCCAGCAAATAAACAGCTGCTTCTGGTGGGAGTGGTGGGCCCCTCATTTTCACCTTTTGCCAACTTACACAGGGTGAGTACTCCCGCCATGACTGATTTCAAGATAGCAATGTGATGTCAATTGGGTCACAAAGTTCCTGAAAATCAGCAACGACACTCATGAGCCAGCCTGAGTTAGCTCCAACACACCACTGAAAAGATCGTTCCTTAGTCATAACTGCCATTTATTTGGAGACTGCAGTCAGAGTGGGGTTTTTTGGGGTGGATGGGGGGTGGGGAGCTGACACAGTAAAGGAAAAGGAGACTAAATTCTTAGGAATGCTGTCAACTTTCATAATTTGTCTTGGCTTCCATGTAAAAGAAACAGAAACAAACTACTATGTACTAGTAAATAATAGATAATGTGATCATATTCACATCTTAAAGGATCTTCCAAATTAGGGATTCTGAATTCCAAATTAGGGATTAATCTCACTGAACATGTGTATTAGAATTTATTTAACTCATTCAATCCCTTGTGAAGTACCCTAGGTTAAAAGCAGTGAGAAGAAGTCAAGTTTTGGCAATGGAGTCCCAGAGGACTGATAACATCCCCTATTATGTCATAAAGAAGTTAAGTCTAAGTGGGGAGAAGTGGTTGTGATTTCACACACGGTTTTGACAATGTAAACTGAACGGAAATTGTTACTACTCAATTTGGTCTACATAAAGACCAATACATTACTTTTATGATCTCAAATAAATGTAAGACAGCTGTCTTTCTAAACCCCTCATTTTCGAGAAAGATAAAATATAATCCAGAAGCTAAGAAGATAAATGAAAAGGAAATGGAATGATCATACTCTAGCTTGTCACTTTTCATGTGTCATCTATCAACTGGCTTTAAACAAAGTAAACCTTCTGAATCCTTTTACAATTTTTTAAAATACAATGTCTTGAAATCATAATAATTTAATCCTAGAAATTGAGTTCCAGATTTTTCATACATTTTCTCAATTAGAAGGATTATTTTACTATCTTTTTCAAGATATGAAGGGGTGGCTCAGCCAGTTAAGAGTCTGACTCTTGATTTTAGCTCAGGTTGTGATCTCACGACCCTGAGATCGAGCCCCACGTCATCAGGCTCCAAGCTCTGTGGGGAGTCTGCTTGAGATTCTCTCCCTCTCTTTCTGCTCCTCCCCTCACTGTCACGTGCACTCTCTCTCTAAAATAAATAAATAAATCTTTTTTAAAAAAAAGATACGAAGGAAAAAAAAGAAGAAGAAGAAGATAGCAGGAGGGGAAGAATGAAGGGGGGTGGAAATCGGAGGGGGAGACAAACCATGAGAGAT